TCACACAGATATGCTTTCATCTCTCCTATGTGTGATGGCTAGGAATGAAAATTGTTGGGCGTTTTGGTGTCTTTTGAGCTTTCTCCAGTTACACATTTAACTCTCATGATCCGAGTATATGAGACTTCCAGATTCTGCCTGACATATTATTAATTTATTATTTTGATCTTAGCAATCCTACATCATTGTGGTTTTAGTTTTTTTTTTCCCTTAGATTAACCATGCTGACCAAGAATTTTGACTTGCATATAATAGGACAAGGCACAGCGATGCCTGCTTAGTTGTGATGTTTGTAGCTTCTCTGTGTGTGCTGTGTACATACATTGTGGATAGCACATGTGAGGTACTTGTGTGTACACATGTCTAGGCTGAAAGATGATATCTACAGCTTCTCTGTGTGTCTGTCTGTCTGTCTGTCTCTCCCTTTCTCTTTCTCTGTGTCTGTTTGTTTGATATATGTATCATGTGGTACATGCATATGTGCATGTGTGTGAGCTATACCCGTGTGTGCACATGTCTAGGCTGCAGGATGATATCAACAGCTTCTCTGTGTCTGTCTGTCTGCGTAGTATATGCATATGTGCAGTACATACATGTGTGCGTGCGTGTGTGTGCAGTACCCACGTGTGTGCACATGTCTAGGCATGCAGAGGCTGGAGGATGATGTCTCTTGTCTGCCTCTACCATTTTCTGCCTCCTTCATTTGAAACAGGGTCTCCCTGAATCCACAATTTGCGTGGTTTTGGCTGGCTAGGCTTTCTGGCCGTCGAGTCCCAGTGATCTTCCCGTCTTTTCCCCTGCTCTTCTGCCAGCGCTGGGGTTATCATCACATCCAGTCATACCCAGATTTTTACACGAGTGCTAGGAATCTGAGCTCAGGCCTTTCTGCTTCAGTGGTTAGCAGATCCCTGGTAATCGTTGGTACCACACCACTGAGCCCTTTGATCTTCAAAGCCTAACGTAGAGTCTGACCTGTGGAGAAGACTCAGCAACCCTGGAGAGTAACACATTTCCATGTGCTTCTTGACCACTGTTTATCTCTTTTGGTGAATAATCCATTTGTGTTGATTAGCTTTTGCCAATTTGACACACGCTATAGTCACATGGGAGGAAGAAACCTTAACCGAGGGATTGCCTTCATCAGATTGGCCTGTGGGCATGTCTGTGGTGCTATTTTCTTGATTAACAATATCTGTGGAAGGGCTCAGCCCACTCTGGGTGACGCTACTCCTGATTAGGTAGTCCTGGGTTATAAAAGAAAGCAAGCTCACCACGCCAGAGACAGCAACTAGCGTTCCTCTGTGGTGTTTGCTTTGTCCAGTCCCTGCCCTGATTTTCCTCACTGATGGACTGTTACCTGGAAATGTAAGATGAAATAAATATTTTCTTCCAAAGTTTTTTTTTGGTCAGTGTTTTATAACAGCAACAGAGCAACAAACTAGGGTACTATTCAAACATGTTTAAACTGCTTTCCTTTTGCTTTCTTTTTAATTGTAAAGAATATTTTTGTATTCTGGATACAAATTCTTCACGGGACTTTTATTTTTCTTTCTAGGTTTTTAAAATTTTATAGCTTTAAATTTTTCTTTATCAAGAAGTGGGAGAGGATCTGGGATTTGGGGGAAGGGAAGGAATATGATCAAAATATATTGTGTGAAATTCTCAAAGAATAAATAAAAACATTATCTAAATGAATTGGAAAAAGATCAAATCTAATGTGCCATTATTTTAACTATTTTTCCTATACAATATCTGAGCTGGCAGGAATTGTCTAATTAGTTAAATATTTTATAAAGTATGAGTGTTTTACAGCAAGGTAAATGGCAGAGCATGTATAGAGACTATACTGTAAGCATACTGTACAGTATAAGATGAATACCGTAAGAGTACAAATGGGGGTATGTTGTCAATTCTTAAATGAGTCTTTATTTTATTGGTATAAGTATTACAATTGTTCTGTACAATTATCCTCAGTGCTCTGAGAAGATTTAGACCCAATCTTGCTATTTGGAATATTTATCATCTCTTCACAGGGTTTAAAACTTAAAACTTTGTGATCATATAAGCTAAGGCAATTCCTGTTGCTAACACTAATACATATATTTTGCCCATAAAAGCCTTTTAATATGATATAGGTTTTCTGTCTCAAGAGTCTTATCTTGACCAACATGATATCAACAACTTTGACTATATTATATACTACTTTGGAAAGTACAGGTGACTTCAAGAGAGATTGTGGAAAAAAAAAAACAAACTCTATTGAACATATTTTAATGGTGATTCCTTTCTCTGAGGTCAGTGACTGGACAGCTATAGTGGTTTCGCTAGATTTACCAAAGCATGGGTTTTGTTGGTGTTGTTTTTGGTGGTGGTTTGGGCTTGTTGTTTGTTGGGAAATTTAAGTACTTGTCCGTTACAGCTCTCTTCCTCCCCACCCAGCTGTAGAACTCCCGTGCCCCAAGGTTGATCAAAGAAGGTTGTTCTCATAACTTTCCGGTGTGCAGTGCCCATGCCTTGACCCCAGGTGTGGGTGGTGCATGGTTTCCTCCTATGCTTAGCCCATCCCCTGGCTTGGGTATATAAGCCCATTCATTGCTCTCGGTAATAAAATGCAGCGGCTTCCTCTTCATTTCTTGTGGCGGTCTGTTAAGTGTTTCAGTCCCGACACCCTCTGCCAAGCTTGGTACTCTGGCCGCTCGGGCACGGCAGTTGTTGCTCTGTTTGGGTGCTGCCTGAACTCTGGCACTCCACTGGTGCCTGAGGTGCATCCCAGCCCGCATTGTTCCTTTAAAGAACTGGGACTGTCCACAGTCCCCAGCAGCCAGCAGCCTCTCTTCTTTGTTTGGTCTGATGACCCAGAGCTCTTTGAACTGAAAGTGCAGTCTCCTCATTTTGTTTGGCTTGCCAGTCACATCCTCTGTTTTTAGTGCTGGAAGGCATATATTTATTTACCTTTAAAAATATTTTAAAAAGTAGGCTAATTCTAATTTTGCTTTGTAAGACATTTGATTTATTTATTTACTTTTAGAATTTCACAAAACTTTGAAATATTTAGAGATACTGTAGAGTGTTGGCAAATAGAGGATTAGAAGCCACTGTCACAGGTCCAAGAATGTACTTTGCCAATATGCAGCCTTTTCCAAGTCAGTCTATAATTACTTTCCTAATTAAAAAAATTTTTCTCACATGCATTAAATTGTTCTTCTTTTAGTCTGTTTTTTCTCTCTGTAATCCTGAACAAGAAAAATTTGGGCAAAATATTTGTTTATTTATGTTGTTTTGGTTAAGTTTATATTGTAGTGTATTGTTTTCTATTATGTCTACATTACTTGCCAGAACTCTATGACTAAATTCTGAAAGATAACTTCTGTTACATGAATTGGGCCCCAAATCATCAGGCATTTCCAAATAGTGGCCTTATGGCCACATGTGGCCAAAGACAGCTATGAATACAGACCATCCCAAAATCACAAACTCACTTAGTGAAGCACTTTGCATTTTTTTTTATAACTTGATGGTGCAGTTTTTGAGTGAAAACTTTGTAAAGAACAATATTATATTTCAGTGTCAAAAGGTTGAACATCCATGATAGAATCAAACTATAATAACCCATAGTAAAGGTTATTTATCAGTAAATATTAAAATTCATATGTCATGCACAGAGATATAGGCCCCAAATATTAGAGCCTTTAGGGTCAGAAGTATAAAGCGTCATCAAATACTAATAAACAGTAATTTGGGGGAAATGTTCATACATTCATTTTGAATAAATTGGAAAAGGTTGTTTAACCTTTTTGTTAGACACTGAGGATGAGTAAAGGATGTGGAGAAGGTCAACCAAAGGTGGAGGGATTGTATAATGGTCATGTGCAAAGATGTAGAGTCAGGACAAACAACATATTCTAGAATGTGGCCAAAATAAAATGCAGTATGTTGAGAAGTAATAATAGCAGAAGTAACGTATAGTAACATAACTCAGGGATCAATGGTTCTCAGCTTTCCTAAAACTGCAACCTTCGATACAGTTCTTATGTTGGGGTGACCTCCAACCTAAAATTACTTCTGCTGTTACTTCATAACTGTCATTTTGCTACTGCTATGAAATGTAATATAAATATCTGATATGCAGGATATCTGATATACAGTCTCTGTGGGGATCACAACCCACTGTTTGAAAACCACTGCTCTAAATGAAGAACAGAGAGAGTGGTCTTAAAATATTACATTTATGACAATTTTTGCAGTTGTATTTTTCTGCTTAAGTTACTCTTTTTCAGGACGTCTCTAGATATTTCACTCAGAAGAGTAGTAGGAACTAGAATTTTGGAGAGAGTCACTTCATTTGAAAAGTTCTATAACAATGATGTATTTCTTGGCATATATTGCTAGCAAAGAGGAGAAAGGCTGGGGTCCTCTGCCAGAGGAATTGACCATTTTGGTTGGTTGGTACTAAGTTTTACCAGTAAGAAACCGGTTCCTTGCACCATGTCTTGGTAATGCACATAAAGTGAAGATTTCTGGTCTACTTTGGACAGAAAAATAAAACTCCCCCAAACTGCACTTACCCCCTCAGTAACAAACCACCAAAACTTGGATCCCTCTAATTTGCTTTGTGTTTTAGTCTGTTTTATAGAGTAGTTAAGAACATTTTCTTTGATTTTAATGGTTGCCATCTTTTAGTCAGCTTTGCATCTGCACTATGCTCCCAAGAAGCAAAAAAGGTAGCATTTGTTCTTTTTATTTTGAAAAAAACTAATTTATTATGTTTACAACATTTTTGCCTCCATGTATTCCTGCATGTCAGAAGAGGACACCAAATTTCATTATAGACGGCTGTGAGCCACTATGTGGTTGCTGACTGGAAGAGCAGTCATTGCTCTTAACCTTTGAGCCATCTCCCCAGCCCCTCATTTGTTCTAAGGCTAATGCTTGTAATAGGCAAGGGTTGAGATGAAAAGGGGTCGATGTATCAGACACTCATCTTATATTTTCACCCTCAGGTAAAAGGCCAAACCTGAAAGTGCACATCAACACCACCAGCGACTCCATCCTCTTGAAGTTCCTGCGTCCAAGTCCAAATGTAAAGCTGGAAGGTTTTCTCCTGGGATATGGCAGCAATGTGTCCCCAAACCAATACTTCCCTCTTCCCACAGAAGGGAAAGTCACCGAGGCTGTAGTAGGTAAGGTATTTGGGTGGGTGATAAGAGGTACCCACTACAACAAGATGCCCAAATGTGGAAGATGAGAAACATTTCTTTTACAACCTTGGCTGAGTCCAATGTGGCAATACAAATCACCTTTGTAATTACTACAATCTAAAGCACAGTTCTTTATACTGAAGCTTTTTATTGTATGAAGAAATAATTGTCTTAACCATTGTTGAACCTGTAATCCTGCCCACATAATTGAATACATAAAGAAAAAAACCAACTGAAATATTAGGCATAGCCATTGTGGCATTATTTATGTAAACTAATTTTCCTTCTTGTTGTCTTTTCTTTCTTCTGGTAGAAGATGGCCACCATAGATTTCTGAATTTTATCTTTGGAAAGAAGTGTTATCTTCAGAAAGAAAATAAAACAGATTGCATTTAAAATTTTTAAGTAATTCAGACAAGGCAATTAAAGTTTAATATGAATTATGAAATAATGTATTTCTTTGAAAATGTTTTAATGATATAAAATTAGAGTTTCAGGATGTGAGCCATCTTCGTGCTTTTTCTGTGTGTGGGGGAAATGTAAATAAAATCCACTTAAGGGGTTAAATAGTTTGACAAGGATGATTCATGGTGAAAACTTTGAAAGTCTTTGCTTTGTTTCCTGCTAAGATGTTGCTTAAGAGGCAGTCTCTGAACTTCAGAAGCTTAATCCCGTGTTCTAGCACTTCATATTGGCTCTTGCCAATATGTGTAATGATAATGCCAAGATGAGTTGATTGTGTTCTTCTGCCTTTTGCTTTTCCCAGAGAAACCTCGGTTGCTCCTTAGTGCCAGCCAAGAGGTAATAGTGTTAATTAATGAGTAATTAGAGATGATATTGAGTCGTGAGTAACTCGATATTACATAAGGAAACCACTTTAAAACAAACCGAAGAGCTGATTAACCCCTGTGCTCTGAGAATTAGGCAGTGTAATAATAATATAATTAGACAAGTATAATAACCAATCCCAAGTAGAATTTGAGTTTGGATGTTTGTAAATATTCTCTGGTGTCTATCCAGTCTTCATTATGGGAAGTGACCAGAATACAAGTTCTTCCTCACATTGATAGCAGATCTATAATCCCCCCTTTTCACAGAGTATTAGAATTAATGCTGTATTTTTATAGACTTATTTTGTTATTTAAATGGAGAACCTGGTCATTTGTTAGCTTCCTTTATAGCAGGTGAAAGCATTATAAATAGTAGGTGGCAGAATTCAGATTATTAATGAACAGTGTGTGCAAAATCTAAAAAAAAAAAAATTCCAGTAACCTTCCATTGTTTTAATAATGAAGGTGGATCAAATGGACTGGGAACCCTTTTATTTATTCTTTTGGTCTCTGGCTTTTTATTGTGTACATTTCCAAAGTTAAGGGAATAATGTTGAAGAATGTCTTACTGTACAGCTTGAATACATATCACTGTGCTAATCTCCTTTTATGTGTTCATGTATACAGCATTCTGGAGTGTTTTAAAGCATAAAGAGATACACTTTTTTTATCAAGTATACATCACTAACAGATAAGACATAGTTTAATAATTCCATACTTAAATTATTGCATTTGGCTCTACAATATCACTTTATAGCTAGCTCATACTTAAAATTTCTCATGTGGTATTACAACTGTCTTTTTAGTACTGATCTGTTTGAATCACTAAATGTCTGCATATTGCATTAGAGTATGGATCTTAAATCTCTTCCTTTCCTCTTAGAATATCATTGGAACACCTTTTGGGTGGGTTGTCCACAGCCTGTATTTAACTGGCTGCTTCCCTTATGTGTTTTTCTTTGTAGTACAGAAGATAGCATATTGGATAATGGAGACAGCCTACATTTTAGGCAGGATTTATACTATTCTAAAATCTTCTCGTAATGGGTATTTCTATGTCCATTCTGAAGGAGGAGACTAAAGTTTATCCTTGCTATTTTTCAGAGAGCCTCTGGCCAGATAATAATCTTACAAGGTTTATATATTATCTATTCATCAATTTCCAAGAAGTTCAGAACCTGCTAAGACCAGAGATATGACTTAGATCCTAGTCTTTTGACAAGGAAATAAAAAATCTAGTAGTTTTAATCTGGGTTTTTTAAAAGACTGATTATAAGGAAGTGGTCCATTCTCAATGAACTCTGTGCCTGCTGGCACACAACTAGCTATCCAGTATTCTCCCCTCAAGAGCTGAGAGCTTAAATTTGTTGTGGAGTATTAATTGAAGATGTGCTACACTTTATGCTGTGGAATATTTGTCTAATGATGCACAGACATGTTACATTCTTTTATGTGCCATTCATTCAACTCTGTGAAGCTTTGTCACTTTGCCTGTTTAAAACACCTGATTGATCTAATAAAGAGCTGAATAGTCAATAGCTATGTAGGAAAGGGATAGGCAGGGCTGCCAGGAAGAGAGAATAAATAGAAGGAGAAAAGGAGGAAGGAATAAGAAAAAGAGCAGAGGAGGATGCTGGGGGACAGCCACCTAGCCACAGATCCATCTACAAAGTATATATAATAGAGAAAGGAAAAAAGCCCAGACACAAAACATAAAAGAAATGGGATAATTTAGATTAGAAAAGTTGGCTAGAAACAAACCAAGCTAAGGTTGGGCATTCATAAGAAAGAATTAATGTCTGTGTATTTATTTGGGAGCTGGGTGGTGGGCCCCCAAACAGTGAAAACAACCAACTCCTTTAAATTATCGTTGGAGATGAGCTTTGAGTCATTCTATTTGTGGTTAAAAGGGAATACAGAATGGTAGTCTTGCTATTTTTAGGCCTCAATGGATGATCAATGGAATTCAAACATATGGTAATAAACTGATGCAACTGTAAATGAGAGGAGAGAAAGTCAAGACTGAATTAGGTGCATAATCTCCAAAGACCAATAGTGGCACTAAGAAAGTAGTCACAACCCATTTCCACCATGAAGAGCCAGTTACTCAGTTTCAAAGCTGTTTGCAGAAAAGGATGGGGCTATTTGACATACTTTCCCCAACATTTTTATTTTAAAATATAATTACATCATTTCTCCCTTCCCTGTCCTTACTCTGTCCCCTATTGTGTCCCCTATGCTCCCTCTCAATCCATGGCCCCTTTTCTTCAGTTGGGGTGTGTGTGTGTGTGTGTGTGTGTGTGTGTGTGTGTGTGTGTGTGTGTGTGTGTGTATGAATATTGAAATCTATCGACTCTGTCCAGTGTTGCTTGTAGTATAAGATTTCAGGGCTGACAACCAACCAAGGGGCTCACTCCCAGGGACGAATAATTGTCCTTCTCTGCTCTCAGCATTTCTTAGATCTTTAGGTGCCCTTAGAGATGCCCAACATCTTCCTAGCCTTGTTATCTACTCAGCAACAAAAGGGCTTTGCCTAGGCTGAAATCTCTATGGAAGCTTACACAAATTCTAAGGAGGGCCACTTGGTAAGGAGGGATATTATCCTCTAGGCAAGCTGCATCTTCTGGCAAAGCTTTCTGAAGAACTGTAGGATATGATAAGCACATCCCACCTTCCCAGATGACCAAGGTTTCCAAGAATGAGGAAGATAATATCTAGTTCCCAGAGATTTAGGTTCAGGATGGGTGACTGGTAAACTAAGGAAATGCATTATTTGAAGAAATCTCAGCAGACCAAATTAAAAATGATTTTAATGGGTATTACCTGGTGACTAGAAGGGAGAGAAGTGACCAGAATAGAGGAGGAAGTTGGTGACCATGGATTGAATGAAGTCTCTTGGCCTCAGGGCACAGAAAATATTGTTTACAGTTAGAGAAAGCATGAGAGTTCTTTAATCTGATTAAAGCTGGGGTGTTTGAGCTTGCCCTATCTGGCATGCCATGTTCCTGCTTGGGGTTTCATGGAAAGGCTCATGAGAACTGAATCATTGTTCTATTCTAAAACCTGGTCTAGTTGGTTTTGTTTTGTATTATTATCAGTTGTTTCATTCTTTGGCTATGCTTCTACAACATAGAAAGCCAAAAATCCACTTAAAATAATTAAGGTCAGTTGATGGTCATTAGAGATGGCCTTTAGGGACCAATGAGGAATCCTTGCTTCTTTTAGTGTTTTTTTTTTTTTTTTTTTTGGTGTGTGTGTGTGTGTGTGTCTGTCTGTGTGTGTGTGTGTGTGTGTGTGTGTGTGTGTGTGTGTGTGTGTCTGTGTCTCACCATGTACTAGTCATGCCATCTGCTGGGTTGCATCAAGGTCTTGCTAACCATTGGAAACACTAAAGTAATCCTTCTGTGCCATGACCCCTTCTTTGAAACAAATGTTCACTGGTTAGAGTCCATCCTGTGGGTTCTGCATTTGCTTTCTAATCAGTTATGTCAGAACGAGTTGCCTTGAATGGACACCATCAAAAATTTGAGGAACTTTTGGGAGAAAGATGCTGTAACACCTAAGAAGCTATTCCATGTGGCATTCTTACAGCTCTTACTTGTCCTTTAGATCAATGTATTCTTTTTAATTAATCCCTTTTCTTTTTGTATATTTCTTGTCTTTAAAAATCTATTTAATAGAATTATACCTTTCCCCCCTCGTTTCTTCCCCAACCCCCTCCTAGTTCTGTTCCCTTGAACCCCACCCATATCTTCCCACTCTTAAGTTGATAGCCTCTTCCTTGATTGTATTTGATGTACATGTTTGTGTGCAGATATATAAAAATAGAACCTGCTGAGTGTGTTTTTATCATTTGTGTGTGTATGGTTTCAAAGCTGACCACTCTGTGTTGGACAACCAATACAGGACTCTTTCTATTTTTTAGTCCATAGAGTATTTTTATATGTTTTGACCATATTCACTCACCATCCTCCAACCATTCCCAAATCCAACTCCCTTCCCTATCCATCCAATGTTACATCTTCTTTAAAAAAAATCTTGCATGGCCAATTCTTGCTGTCAAAATATTATTGGCTTTGTGGTCTTCCATTGGAATCTAATCAACTTCCCAGGGGTTATATTCTCAGAGAAAAAAATGTCTCTTCTTCTCCC